TGGGTAATTCCTCCTTACAGTAACAGTTCCCACAAGTAGTAACAGGAGTTATAATGGCCCCTCAAGAAGGACCCATTAAGGACAGTTACTGTAAGGCGGAATGACCCAAAATATTATCAACATGATTGCCAACAATACTACTTTTCCTCATTTGTTGTTACTTTCAAAGTGTTCAGTTTCTATGGACTCTCCACTAGGTCGTTCATTATTGAAGCATAGAATAACACGTCTAGATTTCCCAGATTATCCTGGGAGCCTTGTCCTTGCTTCTTTGGATTGGGCTTGGGCTTGGGCTTGGGCTTGGGCTTGGGCTTGGCTGGCGCTCAAGAAATCTGAAGAGGAAGAATAGGCTACACGGATGTTTGCACTGCCTACACACCTGAAACCTTAAGTTCAAAGTGAACCCCGAACCGTTCTGCTTCAAACCCTAAACCCCCATCCCCCCAGATCCCCGATCCTTGGAAAAGAGACGTATGAACAAAACGCCCTAAGGCACCAAGCTCCAAACTCTCTGCCTGAACACAGTAAATACCCTAAGCCCATAACCTCAAACCCCAAAACAACCCGAAACCCTAAACCCTAAGCACTTAACCCTAAACCCTAAACTCACAGGCAGGCACGTTCCAACCTCGGAGCCTCCCAGCGCATTGCTCCTCTTCGATGGCCTCCTGCTGCGGCCCGTGGAGCGCGTGAACCGGACGCTGCTGTCGCCTAGTGCTTTGGGCTTCAAAGACTTGCTGGTGGTTCAGGTCTAGAATATAGGGTTTAGGGTATAGGGGAAAACGGAATATGATATAGGGTTTAGGGCTAGTAGGGAATAAGAGAATCGATTATGGAAGGGATTGAATAGAGATTTTAGCCCCTTATTCCTTACGAACCGCCAGTACGAAGAAGGGTTGGGGGTTTGCAGGGTGTGGGGTGGGAGGGTGGGCTTAGCGATCGGCTTCACAAAAAGGATTCTTGGAGATTCAAGGTAATCTTAGCCCAGCTTTAAATAGGGTTCTAATTGGGTTCTATGTGCACTAACCATTGGGCTATAGGTGCCCTGAACCACCAAATATTGTGGGTTTTCGGGCTTTCCGGACTGGGTGGGTTTTGGGGTTACGGTCTTGAATTTCAAGGGCAGTATATGGTGGCGTATAGGCTTTTCGTTTTCTTGATGCTTAGGTTTTACCTTTTGGTTCCCTTAGGTACTTTCCTGGGAGCTACCGGAGTGGCCGTTCTGCCTACGTTGCCAAGTGTGTCACAAGAACCAAGCACAGTCACTTGTCACCCTCCCCACAAGACACGACACCGTAGACCCGATGCCTTTTGAATTACTGTCTTGCAGAAAGGGGTAGCAGCGGCACACATAGGCTCCTTGCTTGGGTGGGGAGGGTAGTAATCAGTGGCTGTGACAGGTGGTGGCAAGGATCTTGAGGTTGTCAGCCACACGCAGCTGACTGTGGAGTTTCTCACGGCCACGCTTTGGCCCCCTTGCTGAAATCAAGGGCACGACACGAAAGAGCACTCATAAAGGCGTGAGCCGTTTAATCGAGGATATCAGTACTTCCAAAAGGTCCCGGACACTTCTTCATCTTTTTTCTCCTGTGGTGCTTTTGCGTTGCTTGCCATTTGGTAGCGCGTGCAACTGGCAATAGACCGAGGCTCCGTCAGGACTTTGTGAGCCAACCTGAACGGTATCTCTAGCTTCTTCTTAGTTGTCTCTCCTGAAGGTGATTCATCATGTCCGGGGCTTCCGTGAAGGCTCAGTCACCCCACGTGATTTTTCTTTTTTGATCGTCTGCGCGACCAAGAAGGTCTTGGAAGCAAGCTGGCTATATGTTGCACGATGCGGGCACATTCTTTGCCGACCACGAACTGTGCGATCACGAGCTCAGCATCCAGCGAGTGACGCCCGCCGCAGTGGTAGAATCCGCCTTTTCGATCGGTAGAAGAGTGCGAAATCACCCCAAAGCATCATCAACACATCATAGCAGGACGCGGAGCAAGGATCATATATGCTGAGGCGAAGAATTTGGGTACATACCGTAACCATGTCAAGGGCTAGTGCTGGTACCAGTGCTGGTAGGAGCAGCTAGGCTAACACGATCTTCTCATTCTTGTCGTCCCATCGTTTAAGAGCAGAAGCGTGGTCTGAGAGATTTGCCACTGTCGCGACAAACCGAAGTCCCTTGTACTATGGTTCCTGAAGTGCATTGCGCGGGTGCAGCCTGTCCTTCATCAACAGCAGTCCTTGAATTGTAGTTTGTAGTGTCTGCCGAGGAATGGTCAGCCTTGGATCGCACATCCTGATGGCCTGAATCATCTGCGGCCGAACGATTTGATCAAGCTGAAGGAGTGTCGGGGTGGCGAAGTTCTTACTCTAGCTGTCTTGATCACTGCATTTTCTATCATTTGTATTCATTCGACTACCTTTTTGCAGCTGGTGCCGGTGCCGATGCTGCTGCTGCTGCTGCTGCTGCTGCTGCTGGCGGTGGCGGTGGCGGTGGCCGTGGCGGTGGCGGTGGCGGTGGCGGCGGCGGTGGCGGCGGCGGCGGTGCTGGTGGTATCATTTGCTGTGAACTGAAGACGCATTGTCGCGAGAGTTGTCCAGATATTGTGTACATGGCTGAGTGTCACACAATCTGTATCCGGCATTTGCCTAGTATTTGAAAGAAGGATGCTATAGTATGCTCCCCGATACGGAGTAAGACTATCTTCGCCTGTCAGTTGTAGTATTTCATGAGGAGAACTTGATCTTACCCTCTTTAGCCACCCAAATGGCAGTACACATAGAACCCCTATAGCCCCATAAAGAACAAGTTTTGATCGCTTTTCCAATTTCATGTTGCCATTTGCTTTTTCAACACGAAGCACCTAAACCCTAAACCAAAACCCTAAACCTCAGCTAACAGGATCGGAGGCAGGTTCGACGCCTCTTCGACTGGCAGCAGGAGTCATGGGTACACGAGCTGCAGAGTTTAAACTCCTGAAAGGGACGTCATATAGTGGAGTATTATCCGGGTTCTGACGGGGAATACTAGGAGTTTAGCTATAGCTTGTAATCTGGGGCAGAACAAGTTTCAAAACTCATGCAAGCACCAACATTCGGCCCCCAGACCCCATCCCCCAGACTTTGGTATTTCCTTTAGATCAGTCGTCTGAATGTTTTCTAGATGGCGGTTCCATGTAGGCAAGCTCCCATGTCACCCAGCTCCCAATGTCATCTTGAAGACCCTGGACTCCCACTTTGCGAACTCATCGAAACCCTACACCCTGTAAAGCCCTAAACCCGGAGCCCTAAATCCTGAAACCCAAAACATGATGAGAAGGAGGGTTGGACGGTCAAGGCCGAGGGCGGCGACGTGAGATTCTGCCATTCGGGCGCGAAGAAGATCCAGGTGGTAGGGGCTAATTCCTTCCCTCATGTGTGGGGGCACGAAGTTTTGAAAGATTTATGGGATGTACGGTGGGCAACCAGGGCATGTAAGGAACTTGCGGCCCTAAACCCTAGGCCCTAAACTCGAATCCTAAATCCAAAGCCCTAAGCTAATCCGCAACCCTAAGCCGCGTTGAGACGGTCAGAGCCCACCAGGTGCCCTTTGTGGTCTGTGAGGAGGAGGTGCCAGGGGCAGCGGACCTGGGAGACTTTCTTTCAATATTTGGCGGTTGATCTGAAGCCATGAGAATTGCGAGTTTTTTCATGGTGAATAGTTCTAGACTTTCGAAATAGAACTTTCAGCATTGTGGAATATTCGATTCAATGAGCCGCAATTTGCAAAGTGGCAGCACAAGCACAAAGCTTGCTTGAAGTCTCGGGCCTCCACTTGAGCTGTAGTCTAAATTCCTTA